AACTTTCCTGCGTTCTTTATGGTGGAAGAGACTGCACTATTCATCCAGAATGTATGGTCTTTAATTGGAGTTTTGTTTTACTTAGGTGAAAAGCTTTTCATCCCCTTGGTTTGTTTGAGTGAGAATTATGAACATCAATTGAGTCATCATTTTAATGAGAAATTCAAAATTTCGAAATATAAACCTTTTAGGCCAAAAAATAAAAGCATGAAGAATAGTGTAGAAATTTAAACTCTAGACTCATGATAAGGGTTTAAATGAGTTTGTTAGGGGTTAAATAGGTTATGCATGATTTGAAAATAATATTTGGAATTCATGTGATGAGAAACTTGAATTATGGTGTAAAGTGAAACATTGGAGCTCTAGAGAGTATTTTATGAAATTTTCGTATTCAGTCCAAAAGCTATCATGAAAACAATTCTGCATATTATGTACTAGGTTTGATGTTTTGTTATTTTCATGGACTTAATGGACTCCAATGACTTTAAAATTTTAACAGTAGATAGTGCATGAATATATCTTTATAGGGAGTCTTAATTTGCTTCAATTGGATGTTCCTATCTCAAGTTATGACCATCTAAAATTTATATGTGTTCAGAAGATGCAAAACTAGGTGAAGAGGGATTTAGCTTTATTGTTCTTTAACTAATTATATTGGTTACAAATAAGAAGATTTAAACATTTTAAATGAGTTAAAATGACTTCGGTAGTGAATGGTGTAGAGAGAGTAAATAAAATAAGAAGAGGGTATTAGAGCAAGAGTAGTAATATTTATATATGAGATGAATATGATGCTTAGATATTTCTTGATAAATTTATGATAGAATTTATTGATGAAATTTTGGTGTATTTGAGAGAGTTTAGAATAACATAAACAATATTTATAAGTAATATTTTGGAAGCAGGAATGTTAATATATCAAATTATCTTTTATGTCATGCTATGTCTATAGATGTAACCAAAGTATATCAAATTAAGGTAGGAATTCAAATATGACAATTACCCATTATGGTCATTAGGAATTGAATATTTTTGGGCTTGACATAATGTTACCATGGCTTTCTATAGAATCTTTGTTGACAGGCTAATTTATAGGAAAGTGGAGTTTGTAAGGGTTGAATCTTTGAAAAGAGTTTTTAAAAGTTGCCATTAGGGAAAGAGATTTTGTTTTTACTAAGAAAATGAGGGAATTGCTCAAGGATTATTATTGCAATATTTTCATCATGTTGGTAAAGTATATATCATAATATTATTTAAACAGAAAAATCCATGGATGGCTTGGAACATATAGTAGTGGTTTGACGTTACTTAAGTCAAATGAAAATGTTCTTGTGACTATATTTAGACAAATAATGAAGTCTTGATTGAAGAAGGTTTCCTTTGTGAAGTGTTTTGGTCCAATTGTTCTTGAAAGTTACTCGGGAAGTTGAAGGTGACATGCACGTTAAGTATCTGCACTTATTCAAAAGAATGAGGTGAGTTTATTTAAATTTAAAGGATTGAATTTCTTAAGTAGAAGAGAATGTAATTGTCACACCTCAAACTATGGGAGTGACTGGTATGAAATGTGCACTTAAACACATTCCTTAAAGCCTCGATTGAAGAAAGTTTTAAATTAATACATATGACTTACTATCAACCTGATTATATAATCTAATTTTACTTTTCACATAATCAAAATATCAAACTTTTTTTTTTTTGTAAAAATTTTAGGTAGCACCTCCCCTATAAGTAGGATCTCTCGAAATTTCTACAACAAAAATTTTACAATTTACACCCAGCAATATGAAGTTTTACTCCTCAGCAACAAATAAACAATATAACAAAGAGAATCAGAACCTTAACTATAATTTATGTGGAGCACCTTTATATTTTTCATGACATAATACAAAAATTTCATATTAACATCAATGGAGATATTTACACAATAAATCTTCACTCAATTCAGCAAAAAATCCCTCAGTGGTCAGCATGACGTACAACGTTAGTGGCACTATCTAAGATCAAAATAACTTTTCATTGAATAATGTCCCAATCATAACATTTTATAAAATTAAAATGAATAAAATATAACAGTTATATAAATTAAATGAGGAAGCAATTCAATGTAAATAAATCTATAAACTTGGAATAAAAATTTTTCATAACTTCAATAACGATAACATTTAAGTCTATAATAACAAAATAGTTTTAACATTTGATATTGACAAATCAAAATGATTAAATAATAATCAAGAACAACAATATTTACTTATTGAAAACCATTAAATATGAAATTATCACCAAATAATTAAAAGTTCATATCTTTGGAAATTTATCAGGACAGTTCACAAATATGGACACATAATTCACGAGGGTAAATAACCAAATGTAGCTTATGCTATGAAGACAAACATGGATACACAGTCCACAAGGATAAGTAACCAAACGCAGCTTGAGTTATGAAACAAACGTGGACATATAATCTATGAGGATAATGCTAACCAAATGCGGCTCAAAGCCATAAAAACAAATGCGAGTACGATACCCGTGAAAAACAAATGTGAAAACAAAGCTCACGAAAATCACACTAGCTAGTTATTAATTAAGGCACGCCAAGGGCTAACGGGGCTGCCATTAGCAACCAATGTCCTGTATAAATTTCCTTTCAAATTCATTTTTAAACATGTGAGAAAATTTCACTGTGAAAATATAATTTCCATTTTCAAAATCAAACTTGCATGAATAATTTTAAGTTTCAAAACTTGCCAGAATAAAATTTCATAATTAATGTTCATGCTGCATTTATTGAGTAATCAAACATTGCCAAAGATAGTAAAAAATAATTTTTATCAATCTTGAAAGTATCTATCATAAGGAGTAAAACATTCATATGCTACAATGTAAATGTTCTTCACCACCATCTTGTAACTTAAAAATGAAGTAATTTAATTAACTAAATATCCATTAATCAACATAATTATTATTAAAATAATCCATATAAAAATGTAGATTTTCAATAAAATAATTTTATTGATAAACCAATTGGAACGCTATCCACTTACCTACATTACCCTTAAGGATCCAAACCCATTTCTAACAACTCAAATCAAGTTTTCCTTCTTTCAAACATCCTATAATAGATAACAAGATCTTAATGGACTTTTCTTTTAAATCAACAAATTCATTTTCGAAAGAGCCCATTCAACTAGAATTAACTATACTAATTTTGAAGTTTTAGGATTATAATTCACACATAAAAATTTCTTCATAACACTTAGCCAAAGTTAACTACTCAATTAAAATTTAATCTCTTCTCCGGCTTCTTGTTCTATGCCTAATGGATGATATTTTAAACTATTCAATAGAACTTAGTAACCTTTAATTCTCTTGTCCAACAATTTCTAACATTCAAATATAACATCTAAAATGATAATATATCTTATAAATTATCAACCATATAATCCTTAAGAATTCATAACTCAAATAAGATCTCATTAACTTCTTAATTAACTTCCTCCATACAAAACTCAATTTAAATTTACAATTAATTAACACCCAAGCTAAATATCATTTTGTGATACTAATAATATTACATGCACATAATCAAGCAAAACTTTTTTAAAAAACATTTTATCAAACATTTTATAAGCATTCAATTTAGACTTCAATTTCAAACTCTTCCTCTCCAATTTCATTTCCCAAAATTACAATATTGATATTGAAATCAATCAGCCTCCCAATTCCAATCCTTTAACATTAAAAAAAAATCAATTGAACTTTAAAGGAAAGTTAAATCTAATTCCTCATTCTTGCAATAACCAGCATGGGTGGAATTATCTACCAAAATCATGCTCTTCAGCTCAAGTTTTAATTTGATTAACCTCGTTTATTCCCTTCTAACAAGCATAACAGTAGGCAAAACACACAGAATCAGCAAGAAGGAAAGGAAAGGTTCCTCACCTCAGACCATCAATGGCAGGAGTAAAATAAAGAAGGAAGGAAGAAGAGTAGTAGCGCTGAACAGGAAAAACTTTGACACTGCTGCGTGTTTGGGGAGGAGAAAAATCGACGGCTCTCCCACAGTCACCAACGGCAGACGAACAACGGCGAAGGTGAAGGGAGAGGAAGGCCTGGCTGCTCGCACGATTAGTTAGACAGAGGAGGGAGAGGGGTTCGACTGTTTAAAACAGAGAAGAGTGAGAAGCTGCGAGCCAATGGAATGGCAACAGTGCATCTCCACTCCAACACTGGCGACACCTTCGAACAGCAGCGAGACTAGCGATTAGAGGAGGAAGAGGACGGAGCCAGGGGAAGAAGAGTGGGTTCCGGTGTTCTCTCTCTCTCTCTCCCCTGCTCTGAATTCTTCGAAGCTCTGAAGACTATAGAAGAAAGAAGAAAAATAAAAATAAAAATAAAAAACGCTCTGCGTGCGTGGCGGCATCTCTGACTAGTGCTGTATTATTATTATTATTATTATTATTATTATTATTATTATTTAAATTAAGGGTAATATAGTAGTTTTACCCAGCTTGAAGCAAAAATAAATTCCCTCTTTTTGTGCCTCAGATTCAATCTCAAGATCTATACATAACGGTCCAAAGCCATAACCATTATGACACCAATTCACTGTTGTAAAACATTTCCAAAATTATATAAAAATATAGTTAAAATATCTCACCATAATTTTTATTTTATTAAATTTTTGGATTATTATCAGAATTTAATTGAAATTAAAATTGGTGGTAAGTTATTTTAAGGATATTCTTATACACACACACATATGTTGGCATAGATTTACTAATAAGGAGAGTTAGTTTAGTGATAATTGACTTAATCTTTAATAAGTCAGATCTTAGGGTTGAATCCCTCAGAGGGAAGAGAAGAAATTTTTTTTACTAATAATATGGCTAAATTAACATTTTGCCTTTGATTTTTTTAAAAAAATAAAAATAAATAGATAGAGATCAGACACGCACGCACTGGTTGTTTTTCATCTTTCTTCTCTTGTCATTGTCATAAGTTTCAAAGACTCCAAATCAAGGAGAGTGGAGAGAGAGCTTTGAAACCATACCCACGTCTCCTCCGATCTCTTCCCCTGCCATTCTTTTTCGTCTGTCACCGGTGACCTTGAGCATGACACATATTTCTTTTTCCTCTTCCTCTGTTCTGCGTTGCTGATCGCTCAACATTTCGAGTCGTTGTTCAGCTCGTCCGTCTGCTATTCATTCACGTTGCTGGCCGTTCTTTGTTCTTCTTCCTCTGTTAATATCGTGCTATGGGTTATTAAATTTCAAACTGTGAGAGTGGTCGATTCCTGCAAGAGGCTGATTTACTGGTCTTCTCCTTCCACTGTTCAGCACCAAACTCCTCCTCTCCCTTCATCGTTGTTGTTGTCCGTGGCTGGTATGAGGAACCTCATCCTCTCTTCTTCATCTCTAATGATCTTGTGTGGTACTTAGATATATGTTGGCTTTCCTTGCTTGCTTGTTCGGCTGTAAATTTGTTGTTTATATTTGAACTTTTCTTGAGCTTAAATTGATTTTGTTGAGTAACTGGACTGGAAAAGCTTGATGGATTTAATGATAGATGCATGGAATTTGTCAGATAAGAGATTGAAGCTAAAAAAGTTGCATTGAATGGCTTATAAGTTGTGCACACAAGGTGTTTGCTATAAGGCTTGAAAGAAAATCATGTCCCAATGAAATAATTAATTATGGCTAAAGTATTATGAGGAGATTGTGATATAAATGATAATGTTTAAGGTAATGAATCATTAACTAAATCTTTGTGAAGTTGTGATAAGGGATGTCTTCCACATCATCCTTCAATGAGAAAGTTGTTATTAACCCACTTGCTCAGAGCTTTATAGATATTCTTAGGGTGTTCATAGTTAGTGCATGCGTGCATGTGTGTGCATGTGTGTCTATGTATTTATTCATGATTAAGAACATGTTGATTGACTATTAGTATATAAGCAAGAACTGTCTAGTTGCCTTGCTGTTGTAAAGTAGAGCACAAAATCTTATTCATGGCGCTTGGAATAATCCGCTCAATGACTAAATCTTTGTATAGAAGATATTACATTTTTACGTAGGAAGTTGAGATCAAGGACTTTATTTACATATAAGTGCTGAAAAAGTAATATGGGGCCGATGAATGTTGTTTTATTTAATTATTTATTTTAGATTATAGCTTATTGTATTTATTTAAACCTCCAAATATGTAAAATAAAATGCTATGGTTTTAAGTTACAATGTTCTGGGAAGAGTGCAAGTGTAAACAATGGTATTGTTTAGTTAAAATGTGTTAGTGGATTATTATGACTTGTGCACTAGAAAGGAATAGGAAGATATGAATTTCTTTGGAATAAAAATTAAAAGATTGGGGTCCAAGAGCAATGCGAGACTATACTATAATAATTAAGTGAGTGAACAATTATGAGTTTTAAAAAATTTAGAGGTTCAATTATTAATATATTTGATGTTTTAGGAATAAATCTTATTGTGACGAATGCTAAGGGGTAAATTACGATGTTGAAATTGCCTCAGGTAAGTGGATAAAAATCCAATAAATTTACTAATAAATTTTTTTATGGAAATATTATTTTTCTTAAATATATTTCATGTTCTATCTCAAATGTTTAATATTTTGTTAATTATATTGCTTAAAACTCTTGAAGTTGTAATATGTATGTGAAAATTAGTAGAATTATAACATATCTATATGTATTCATTATAAAATATATGTTGAAGCTGATGAAAAGTTTTACTAGCTCAAATAGTAATTGTTATTTGCTAAAGGCAAATGTGGAATTAGTGAAGAAGTTTATATTAAGAAGAATTGAGGTTTTGAATTGTTTATGCGAGTTTGATATTGAAAGTACAAAATTTTATTTTGAGAATGAATAATTTCTCACATGTTTGAAGAGTTTATTTTTAATGGAATGTATGCAGAGCACTGGTTGCTAACGGTTGTTCTATTAGTCCTAGGTGCCATGGTTCAAACCTAACTAGCTTGGTACTCGTGGGGATAGTACTCATGTTTGACATTTGTGAGCATTGCACTCACATTTGTTATCCATAGGTCTCGTACCTATGTTTGTTTTCATGACTTTGAGCCACGTTTGGTTAGTATTATTCTCGTAGACTGTGTGTCCACGTTTGTTTTGTGGCTTTGGCTACATTTTGATACTTACTCTCATGAACTGTGTGTTCACGTTTGTTTTTATGGCTTAAGTTGCATTTGGTTATTTACCATTGTGGCTTATGTGTCCACATTTGTTACCTATTTTGCAAAGTCCTTTGATTTAATTGATTTGTGAATACACACACACACACACACACACACACACACACACACACTTATTGATTTTAAAAAGTGAATATTACTATTTTTTATTTACCTAATTTATTTTATTTTACAAGATCAATTGTTAAGGTTTTGTCATTGTAAATTTATTAGTTCAATATTTTTGAAGTTATATAGAATTTCTTAATCTTCAAATTCAATTATTATATTACATTGGTGTTCTCTTTTAATTGTGCACCAGTTTACTTGATGAATTTTATTTACCTTAAATCTTTTAATTTCATTATTAGGACATTATTCACTGGCAAAACTTCAAAAATGCGAAGCTCTGCTCCTCCATAACAAACAAACAAATAGATCACAGATCATAATCTTCTCTATAGTTAACGTGAAATAATTAATCAAAAATTTAAACAAAACACATACTTAAATAGTCACATCAAAAGAAAGGTGGAACATACTGAATTTTGATCCTAGAAACTAGTTGCTAATCAGGGATAAATTAGTAATGAGTGGGTTGATTGTGATTTGTATGTTGAGTTGATATTTTGTGTGTTTGGGTGTTGCATTGATAGAATTAAAGGGTAGGAAGATAATCTGAGTCATAATGCGTGAGCACAAGTGAGATTGAACTCATTGTACCAGGCGCCATGGTGCACTGTCGAGGGATCACTTAAAGCTAACATGATTAGCTCGTGTAGCTCGTGAAATCAGAAGTAAAAGTGTGGAAAACTCATCTGGAGGGGTGGAGATGTTCAGCTTTGCTAGGGTAAGCAATATCTAGAGCTTGGGAGTCTGCTTCAATTAATAACTTGCCAGGTAAGTATTACACAATCCCAAACTTTAATTCTACCTCTTTTTCATTGAATTTCATTGGTTGAGAAATCAAATCATGAGATTTTGAGGTGTTGTAATCTAAAAGAAAGGGTTAAAATGGAATATCGAATATAGAACTAAGGTTTTGTGACTAGTATGAAGTTGAATGGTTGAGCTTCAAGCATTTGGGCTCAAAATGCCCTAAAAGTTAGGTCAATAGGATGAATTTGGTTGAATGAATGGATTAGGAGGTTGTTATAATTGTTTGAGTGGCCTGTAGGGCTATTGACCATAAATAATGGATAAGTGAATTTAAAAGGGTTTAATTAAACTATTTTATGCGTTAAGGGATTTGGTTTAGCTGAATCAATGCTTATAAAATGTGTTGAGAATTGACTGAAGGGCGCTATATTATGTAGATTGAGCACCTGTGAAGTTACTTGCAAGAATCTGCATCCCTAGGAGTTTAATGTGGTTAGTAACCTTTAGTAGTAAGGGTTAAAGGTAACTAGAGTAACTTTTTACTCATTTGTTTATGAAATTATTTGCAAGTATTTTGATATAACTACATGCATTGTATTATGAATTGATAGAATAGTAGCATTGTGAAAGTATATACATGCAGGTGTGTGAATGTTGAATGAAATGAATTTGAAGTGGCACGTGCATTGACATGCATTGCATCCACGGGATATACCCTGGATTATGGTAGGGGGAAACGTGGTACTATTATGAGAAGGTCCAAGAAGTCTTGATGATCCAAAGCGTAGAACTTGACTCCATCATCATGGACCTAGGAAAAGAATCCTGATGATCCAGAGTGTAGAACTTGACTCTGCCATGACGAACCTAGAATATTGAATGACCCACGAGGTTACCCTAGACTAGGGTAGGGGTTATAGTCTTACTCTGTATAAGGCTAAGAAGTCCTGATGATCCAAAGCATAGAGCTTGACTCTGCCATGACAGACCTAGAAGACCACCTATATGAAAAGAAATGACCTGGTTTGAGCAGTGGTATGGTGAGCCCTATTCTTTATGATTGAAAGTTTTAGTTCGGGCATAGAGTTTACTCTGTCAGGGAAAACCAGGAATGCATTGCATGAGTATAACGAGATTGATGGAAGTAAATTCCTATATATGTATATGATATTATTTTATTTGATACACATGCTACTTTATTGCTTATCTATAATTTTGCTTACTAATCGATAATTAGGGTTACCTTCAAGTTATTAAGATATATATCTCACTCCGTTACTTTTGAACACAGGTGAAGAGAGCGCGAGAAGGTTGGGAAATGAAACAAGGAAAGAGTAGCCTCGATTAGTAGTGGTATGACTACCATTGAGTTATATGAATGTATAATGTGATGTTAAATTATGAATTGCCAACTAGGATGTATAAGTGATTGTATGTTGAGTTATGATATGAATCTTTCTTGTATATATATGTATATGATGTTGCATTATGCTGAGGGTGCCTACTGGAGGGTATGTGGGTAGGCTTAAATGCAAACAAACAATTATATGTTATGTTGTAACTTGTTCCACTTGTGTAAATATGTGTTGATTGTGAATTGAATGTGACTTGTATTGTTATGTGAGAAACCTAACACAAATGGTGTGAACTTGAACAAATGGTGAGGCAGAGCCTTATTTGCAAGAGTCGAGTACATTTATGTGGTAGAGCCCCATTGGAAGAGTTAGAGGGTTAAAAATGGAATAAAGTCTAGTTGTATTTGTGACTATGTGATGATATATGTGTTTTCCTCATATAAGACTATAATTGTGTAATGTGGCTTTGAGAGGCTAAAATGGGCTATTGATATGATATATGTATTGTGTTATTAATTAGTTATATGTGCTCCTTTTGGACTTGGTTCAAGACTCAAAGTGGTTTAATGGGACAAGAAATGTGAATTGAGCACTTAGGGTATAAGTTTTTGAAAAAAAGTGACTTTTTACACTCAAATATTCAATTTGAGATCAAACCATTAAATTGAGTCGAAACATATTTTATTAGCTAGTATACGTTGTAAGCTTTGTGTGGGCACTTGAATCATTCCAATCAGACATCGAATGTGAAAACAGTACACGTCATAAGTTTATCATTTCTGCTATAAAATGACAGCAAAAATTCAGATAGGCAAGCCGAGGCGCATGATGTGTTCGCTGTGGCGCATAATGTAATTAGAGACAGAGCATGTGGTTCTGTTCTATATGTCGCGGTGCATGTATTGCACGCCACAGTGCATGGCCCATTTTTAGGATTGAGAATTTATAACTTTTGAGTCATTTGATTGTGTTTATACTTCCATTAGCCCTCTTATTTGAATATGTGTTTTAAAAAGTTAGGATCCCACGATTTGAAAATAAATAAAGGACTATTACTCTGATTTTGATTTATTAATTTTGTGATATGAAATGGTAAATCCCGAATTGAGATGGGATTTTACAAAAGGTCTCCTTAAAAGATCTTCTACTCAATCCAGTAATATGCCCTTTAAAGATCAACAGGAGGTATGCCATCAGTTATGCTATTTGAGACCAAGCAATGCTTTCCAGTGAATAACATCCCAATGTTAAATAAATTTAAAAGGATAAAATGAATAAATGACAATGGTTGTATAAATTAAAGAAACAACAATTTCATATAAACCTTAAACTTAAGAGATTCTATATAGCTTTAAATAAAATCTAAAACCATTAAATTTATAATGTCAAATATCTTTATTACTTGTTCTCAAGAAGATAAATAAATAAGATAAATAAATATAGTAATATATATTAATTTAAACCAATTGAGTATGAAATCACCAAATAATAAAAATCATTTTTCTAGGGACTTATCAGAATAATTAACAAATGTGAACACAAAATCTACTAGGGTAACTAACCAGACATAATAGAAATCATAAAACAAATGTAAGTACGAGACCTACAAATAACAAACCTGAGAAATAGAGCTCATGAAAAATAAACTAGCTAGTCATTAACCAAGACGTGCTATAATGACCCTAAATTTTAAATTTAACAAAGTGTTTCTCCCAATGGATATTTTATTTAAATAATTTTTATAACAAATAGAAAGTGGTAGTTTAGTGAAATTTGTGTTAGTTAATATTTATGAAGAGTAAGAGTTCAAATTCTACCAAGCAAAAGTTTAATTTTATTTGTTTTAAAATTATAAAAAAATTTTGCCTTCTTTTATAATTTTCTTGTGCTCTCTCTTGTAATTTTTCTTGTGCCATTTCTTGTAATTTTCCCCAGTTTTTTTAATGTTCATATTTTATATCCTTCTTGCCGATCATTTGAGCTTCAGAATAGAAAAAATGAAAAAGAGAGAGAGTGTGTGTCTGAATCCTTCCTTCCTTCTCACTGTCGGTCTACACCTTTAGATCTTGCCGTTCTTCAATTCTTCAATTAATTTGTTGTCATGATAGCCCTCCCGGGCAAAGCTTCGGGAGACGTCGATTCACCATCTCGCTCACGATTGAAGTAATTTCAAAGCTCACATGTCACTTCAAATGAGTACTAATAGCATTCTAAATTTTAAAAGATCTAATGATTGAATTAAAATTTAGACATGTTACAAGTTTGGACATTTTTGCTGTCATGACAGGTTTATTTGCTGTCATGATAGCACCTCCAAATCAATTTTTAAAATATATCATTTCATCATTCGACCTTTCATTAGAGTGATTTTAGATCTCATACATCACTTTCAAAGAGTACTACTAGTGTACCAAATTTCAAAAAGATCTAATGGTCAGATTAAAATTTGTGCATGTCCCAACCTTAGCAACTGTTACTATCATGATAGCATCTCGTGCACTGTTTCTTCGTTAGACATTTGATTGAGGTGATTTCAAAGCCCATAGAAGATTATAAAATGTTCTACTTGTGACCCAAATTTTAGAAAAATTCAATGGTCGGATTGAAATTTAGACACCTCGATGCAAAAGTATAGCTTTTTAATAAAAACCATTTTTAAAATTGTCCAAATCTCATCTCAAGGGTCACAAACTTGTGGGAACACTTTAGACACATCAAATAGGACTAGGAATACCTAATAGAACATTTAAATGATAAAAAAAAACCCCTTATATCAAAATTTAACCACCCGAGTGCCATTTTTCAAAATAGAACCTAAGTCCTTAAAATGCACAAATCATACAAGAGTGGTCAAAAAATAATCAAACATCATATACTCATATAAATATACATGTTAAACATTTTAACTTGGCTCAGGGATTCCTGTGAGGCCCGTACACCCACTCTCTCTATTCAAATTTTATGTTTGCCCATAACACACAATTTGCAATGCAACATTTGCTTGTAGAATAATATATATTCATATATATATATATATATATATCAAAATAAACATTTGTTTATACTGAAAACTTGGTTTACCAAATTAATCTATTTAAACCATACGCCATAACCAAGTTTCCTAGTTACAAGTCTACAAACAGATAAAAATTCATACAAAGACATAAGATCCACACATATTCACACATATATGTATAATCACATCCTACTAGCACCCTAATCCTAAATACATTATAATAGATTTGCTCAAAGAAAGGGATTGCAATTCTTTACAATCCACAAACAACCCTTAGCTCTGCTCTTTTCCTTGTCCACTACTAGATCCTTTGCCTGGACCTAGAAATATTAAAAAGAAAGGACTGAGACAACCACAGTCTTAGTAACAGAGAAATTGATATTCCTTATTATTACAAGAGAAGTCATAGTCAAGTAAATAAAAAATAGATTCAAAATAAAATATAATTAAGCTAATTAAAATGCTTAAATGCATGACATAAACCGATATGGCCTTTCCTAACCAACAAAATGCCCTCTGACATTCTCTAGCTCATAGGTAAATCATATACCTACTTACCTCCACAGGCATAAAATATAATCTAAAACATGATCTAATCCATCGAATCACCTATGCCCCTTCGACGTGGATCCTGAGAAGTCAAAACTAACTCCCTCCCAGAGTTAGCCCGACTTACTCTCCATGTGAGGGCTATCTTGGCCTAAGCACTCAACCTCACACTTCTCATGTTGAATCCCTTCTCCTACTAACAGGTGTTGAACACTCAATCCACTAATCCTTTTAGTGAACTAAGCCCACAAATAGGTACGACAACACTAAGTACCGACAGTGAACCATAGAATATCACAAGATCACATCTCCCTATTGATGAACTCCTATCAAGATCATACCTCCTACCCTTTTCTAACTTCTTTGAGTATTAACCACTTCAACACTTTAAGGTAGTATAACACTTATAATTCCTCTCTTAAGCGGTTCCTTAACCTATTTAAGGTACTTAACCTAGTTACACTTTTCTAAGTAGAACTCTTCGTCTCTATGATCACAATGCATGCTAATATTCTCATTTCCATAAATAATATCATTATTAAATAGATAATAATCATAGATGCATTATTGTCAAAGTAATATCCCATAAACTCTTGTAAAACATATCTATTTGCATTTAATTGTTTAAAACATATAATGCATGTTAGATAATATTATTTACCCAAAAATAGCTAAACAAAGTAATAAGAAATATAAATTTCTCTGTTACCTCAACCCTTTTGTACCAAAAGTGTTTCCCCTTGTACAAAAATAACACTTTGCTTGTTCCTTAATTTCTCAATAAGTTCTACTAATAATTTTCTATAACATATAAGTGATCCACATAACTTTTCATGGCAAATAACATAAATGAAGATTAAACTCATATCAGACAACTTAGGTCAATGAGCCATAATCCATCCTAATGGTCTAAATATTAAACCAACCATTCTTATAATACTACTTAACTACCAAAACCATGTATTAGCCATTATTAGGTCAATTTCCAAACCATACAATTTTTAATTAATCAAAAACCTTTACTTAGCATTACCAACTTTCACAATTAGCCTTTCTAATAAAAACTAAAGCTTAATTTAAATCTTATTGTATTCAAATAGTATAATTATAATCAAATAAATAGGTTTAAACTATTGAAGAGTGAAACCCAATTTCTTAGGATTGAATTTTGGCCAAAACACCCTTCGCTCATCCAATTACCCATTCAAAACATTAGAGCACTATATAAAAGCTCAAAACATCCTCCCTAGAACTCATAAAAACTAAAGTTTACAAGAATAAAACCTTTGAGATTAAAATTTAAAAATTCTCTCTTCCAAAAATTGAAGAAAACCAAGAGGGAAGGAAGAGGAATGAAGTAGGAAGCTTACCCATCCTGTAACTAGGCTTGCAACTGCTGCAAAATCTCCTGAATCCAAGCTCTAGCTTCCCTCTCTTCCTTCCTCTCTCACTCTCTCATCCGTCCTTGCTCTTGGTTTCATTTCTTTCCTTTCTTTATTTCATTTCTTTTCTACATGCTTTACCCTTTAAAAAAAACTAAACAAAACAATTTGGAAAAATTAAAAAGAAGGGCCCAAATCTTTTTATTATAATACAAAAGTCTGAGGCAACTTGAGTAATTTTTTCTATAGTTAAAAATAAAATAAAATCAAATTTTGGTTTAATAGAATTCAAACTATAGA